GTGTGTGTGTGTGTGTGTGTGTGTGTGTGTGTGTGTGTGTGTGTGTGTGTCGAGAGGCGGCGCGGTTTGGGGACTGGGGGAGGCAGGGAACGCAGCCCGATGGTGCTGGAGCCGTGGGTCGGTACCTCCTCTCAGGACCGTTATCTGGTCCGGCTCTCTCGACGCCCCAGAATCATCTATGCCTCTAAGAACCTGACCCCGCACCCCGCCCGTGCCCCTCCTTGGGACGCCGAGCCTCCTCTCCCCAGGGACCGTGCATTCCTGCAGTGTCAGAACCGCTGGTAGCTGCCGCAGACGCTGGCGGAGCGATTGTTTTACCGCGAACAGGTCGGAGAAAGGACGGGTGTGACGGTGGTGGGGCACGCTGCCCTCCTGTGGGCCCAGGGCCTCTGGGGCTGGGAGCGCATCTGACGGAGCCCCCAGGGGGTACATCACAGCCCTCTCTTCTTCTCTCTTCCCTATTCCTGCCCTACTCGCCGCGACACCTCCCGACCCCCTCCGCTCCCATGTCCCGGTCTTGTTTGGCTGAAAGGGCCGTGGCCGTTGGAGTATGCGTGCGGCCTGCGCGGGATGCCCCCGGCTTTCTTGGAGCTCCAGGCATTGTGCTGCTTGGAGGAGCCTTTCTTTACCCCAACAGAGTGGGGGAGGGGGATGTGAGATGAGGGTGAACGGAGCAGCAGGAGGAGGGGGAAGGGGGAAGCGGAACCACAAAGGGGTTGCTGACTTCTATGCGGTGAAATACTCTCTTTCCGTCAAAATGTGCAGCTTGGCAGGAACATGTACACTGACTGGGCTTTGCTGAGGAGCAGTGGGAAACCGAAGGTGGGTCAGTGGAGGGCAGCTTTAGGGATGCTATGGGGGGGGGCATAGAATCAACTGGTCTGTGGGGCAAGTAGTGGGAAGAAGGGGAGATGGAATGGGGCCTGTGTGGAGGTGCAGAGGCCCAGCAGGGGGAGGCATGGTGCTCCGCTCAGCAAAGCAGGCACTGGGAAACGGTGCTGCAGCCCCGAGCTGCAGCTACTATGCATCATTGTGCTGCACGAGAGGCTAACCGTGTGTTTCCTACTGGGTCTCTGTTAAGTTCTGAGCCGTCTTTTCTTTTCCAAATTACAGCATCTATTGGGAACCAAAATAAATGGAATAGATTATAGGACATAAGCAAACTATAGTCCTGCACTCTTGTTCTATGATAAAGAGAAAGAGACAAGACCACCCTCCTATGGTTCCTTCTTTCTGCCATTCTTCATGTATTTTTTTTTTTTTTCAAATTGATTTTGGAAGTACAGAGAAAGAGGATAAGCTCTCAATTGAATTATCCCTAGCTTTTAAGGGAAGGAAGCTTCTGAAATGAGCTGTGACTGAAGACAGGGGCAAGCTTGCCAGCATGCAAGAGTAGGACATCTCATTTGGGGGGCAAAGTTACCCCACCAAGAGAGAAGAGCAAAGGAAGGAGAGAAGGGGAACCATTTAAGAAGGACTGCCAGCTCTAACCCAGAGACCCCTCCTTGAGGCCTTGGTGGGGCCAGTCAAATGCCTGGCTCTCACCTCCTGTGCCACAGCCTGGGCTCTTTCTACAAATTCTGGGCTCAGTTTGGGAGTCAAGTGACTTTGATTTTCAATGCAGGCTCTCAGTTTTAGTTTCCTCCCCACCTGGTCGTTCATGCGGAGCTTCTTGGCCCCTGGGTAGTGAGTGAATTGATGAAAAGAAATCAGGCTATATTGCACATTGTTCAAATGATCACATTTCTGAACTATAGAGCTGTGATATCCATTTCTTCTTTTATAATCTTCTAGGTGAATCTATTTTCTCTAGAGCCTGGGCTGAGGATAGGTGCTTTCAGGATAATCTTCTTTGTTGCCAACGCTCAAAACTCAATTGTAGCCCTAGGTTCCACTTGGCTAGCCCTCTTGTTACTGGTTAATGTTATAGATCGTGCTGTTTCAAATCAGCACCCTCCTTGATATCACCTTCTCACACCAGCTCCCTTGTCCCCTCCAGGAAGAGTACAGATTTAAAGGAAGCGTAATATCTGGAATACCAGCTGGTTAGCTTTCATGTCTCTCTGAAATGGAACCAGCGATCTGAGTGGCTTTGACCACATGAATTGAAAATAGCAGGGGTGCCTTAGTAAAAAAGATGGTAACATTCATTCAGCAGTAGTTCTCTCATTTGATAAGCATTGTGAAGCATCACACATGGAATATCATGGCAAGGGTAGTTTTTCTTTTCCTTGAAGCACTCTCACCCCACATTTCCACGTAACTAAGTTAGCCTCGCTTTCCTAATATTATCGACATTTACTGGATACTTCATGCATTCCACACATTGTGCTTACCACTTCCAAGATTATCTCATTTACTCCACCAAATAACCTCCAATATAAGTGCTATTTAAACACCATTTTAGGGATGAGGAAGCTGAGTCAGAGAGGCTTATAATTTGCCCAAAGTCTCATAGCTAGGAAGTAATAGGAACAGGATTGGACCCTGGGGCCCGGCATTAACCATCAGAGTCCCTCCTCTCTCCATACAAATCCCTTGTCCGTAAAACCTTCCTTACTCTCAGTTGCACTCAGTGATCTTTTCTAAACTCACTTTTTTGGCACTCGGAGGTTCCTAATCTTTTCTGTGCTATGAGCCACTTTACCAATGTAGAGAAACCTTTGGGATCCTTCTCTGAATATGCTTTTAAGTGCATAAAATAAAATATGGTTATATTCAACGAGCCCTTAGGGGTCTGTCGACCATAGGTGAAGAACCTCTAGCTGGTAATTAGTTGTGTGTATATTGCTTAATAGCTGGATTGTCCAATATGGTAGCCACTAGCCATACGTGGATATTGGACACTTGAAATGTGGCTGATCCACATGGAGACATACTGTGAATGTAAAATACACATTTCAAAGACTTAGTGTAAAAAAAGAATGTAAAATGTCTCATTAATATTTAAAAATATGGATTACATTTTGCAATGGCAATATTTTGTATATATTAGATTAAATAAACTATACTATTAAAATATATCAATTAAAAGTATTAAGTTAATATGTTATTAAAATTAACTTTCAGAGGCATTAACTCTATACCAACACCTTCATTTTAACAAACGAGGAAATCAGGACCCACAGTGCTTGTCACTCAGCCAGCCTTTGGCAGGTCTGTTGGCTCCTGAGCCTGTGTTCTTTCCAAGCTGTCATAATACTGCTTTTATATCTTTTTGTATTCCAAGGTCCTGTTATGTTGCCTTTGCAAACTGTAAATACTCAGAATATGTTTTGATGAGATGTGGTGGTAACTGACTTAATCCCAGTAAAATCCCAGTAAGAACTGTCCGGGTCCTCACCTGGCGTACCCTCTGCCTCGCTTATTTAGAGTTTTAGTTTTGTAGGTAGAGGTGGAGAATGGCAGTCCTGGGGCAGAAGCCATGGTTTTTGCTGTCTGTTTGGTCCTCTTGAGGTAGTGGTTCCAATTTAAGCATCTATCTGGATCAGTCATCATGCAGATAGGAGGGAAAATTTGGTTGCCTTGCCGTGTTCCAGGGAAGGAAGCTGAGTAGGTGGAGAAGGGTATGATAGACAATAATGCTTGTGCTGCCTGCAATGGAAAATGAAAACTGTGTGAGGGGGACAGAAGATCATTTGTCAGTGAGCACACATTGATTGATTGCCTCGCCGCAGGCAGTGTGTGCTAGAAGCCATGGAGGGTATCCAGAGGACGTCTCTGCCCTCGAGGAATTTAAATTAAAATTGGGGAAGGGCTTGGATGTACGCACAGATGGTTAAATCACAGCGAAAGGCAGTGTATGTAGAGGACCTGGAGCTGTTGGGAAATGAAGGGAGGTGAGTGTACAGCCTTCCAGGGTGTAGTGCCCAAGGTGGTTGTGGAGTCTGGGCTTTGGAGCACATGAGTCTCTGGGTCTTATCTCTTACAGGGTACTAGGTAATTTAATCCATTCTTCTAGTTTCAGACATATGCTGTGTGTCTGGGAAAAACTCAGGTGCTTGTTTGAAAGTCTATATTAGTGTTCAATTAGTCTATCATTTATTGATGAGAGTAATAATATCCAGGTCCATGAAGCCCTATCCAAAACCCTTGGGGCCAGGCATGTTTCAGAATTTAGATTATCTCAGATTTTGGAAGGCGATAATAGAGTGCATATTCTGCATATCATCCCCCGGGGCCTGGGGTATCAATCTCTATAATTTAGAAAAATTAAAATTTCTGCAGCAAAACACACTAAATGGGATAAATTAAAACCATGAACAGCTCTATATTCATGTAGATCAGGTTTAGTTGCCAAACGTGTTTAGGTCAGGGCAGGTTTTACCACCAAATAAGTTACGAAAAACTTCCAGGGTTTTTTTTTTTTTTTAATTACTTTATTTATTTATCTCTGGCTGTGTTGGGTCTTTGTTGCTGCGCGCAGGCTTTCTCTAGTTGCAGCGAGTGGGGACCGCTCCTCCTCATGGTGCGCGGGCTTCTCATTGCGGTGGTTTCCTGTTGCGGAGCACGGGCTCTAGGCGCGGGGGCCTCAGTAGTTGTGGCGCGTGGGCTCATGAGTTGTGGCTCGCAGGCTCTAGAGCGCAGTCTCAGCAGCTGTGGCACACGGGCCCAGCTCCTCCGCGGCACGCAGGATCTTCCCGGACCAGGACTCGAACCCACGTCCCCTGCATTGGCAGATGGATTCCTAACCACTGTGCCACCAGGGAAGCCCAAACTTCCAGTTTTGAGAGCACATGGTTAGGGTTGTGGACCTATTGTAATAGTAATAATAATAATAAAATAATAATAGAGAACATAAACTGAACAACATAGACGTTTATTATCTGCCAGGCACTGTCCTAAGCAGTTACCAGTGTTTACTCCCTTAACCCTTAGGACAGTCCTTTGAGATAGGGCCTGCTATTATTTCTGTCCTGAGAAGAATAAAAGGGAGCACAGAGAAGCTAAGTTACTGCTAAGGTCACAGCTGGTAAGGGGCAGAGCAGGATGCAAACCTAGGCAGTCTGGTCCAGAGGCTGCATGCTTCACCATTAGGCTTTGTCTTTTGGAGCAGGGAATTGGAAGCAGGTGTGCCTCCAAAACGTATGCTAATTGGGTTAGCATTATTCACACTAACAATGATATTTGAACTCCTTAAGGGTATAATAGCGAAGAAGTACGGAAGCGACGGACCAGTAAAGCGGAACTTTTGTTTTTAGAGGGATGAGAGTTACGGAATAAGTGATTATGGTTCCTCAGCAGAGTTGGCACAAAAGTCCAGTCCAAACTCACATCACCCTGTTTAATTCTTCTAGATAAACGGATCCTGAACATTGCAGTTGTCCTATTGCTGTGCAAGAATGGAGGCCCCACTGGTGAGTTTGGATGAAGAATTTGAGGACCTTCGGCCCTGCTGCTCGGAGGACCCAGAAGAGAAGCCACGGTGTTTCTACGGCTCATCTCCCCACCATCTAGAGGACCCCTCCCTCTCTGAGCTTGAGAATTTTTCTTCTGAAATAATCAGCTTCAAGTCCATGGAGGACCTGGTGAATGAATTTGATGAGAAGCTCAATGTCTGCTTTCGGAACTACAACGCCAAGACCGAGAACCTAGCTCCCGTGAAGAACCAGTTCCAGATCCAAGAGGAGGAGGAGACCCTGCAGGATGAGGAGTAAGCTGTCTTAATTGCCCTCTCTTGCCTCAGATTAGAGCCCTGGAATCTGGGGCTTCTTGACGTAGAACGAGTTTCTGTCCTTGGGTTCATGGCATATTACTTATATTTTTCTCTGTGAGGCAGCGCCCTGGTAACTGCTGACATTGTTCAGTTATGTCCCTTTACAGTTACTCATAGAGCTTTCTTAAGTTGAAACCACAAAGGAATGAAGGGTTTTTAGGAAGTGGGTTTTTCTAGATGCAAAATTGAATTTCAGGAGCATGGTACATTTGGGGGTCTGTCTATCTTCAGCTTTCTTTATATCCGTGGTAACCCACCCAGATATTAGAAATAAGGACCAGAAAAAAATTTAGTTAACTGTGACAGAGGAATATATGTCGTTGGAACAATTTGCTTTACAAAACACCAGGATTGTGAAAATCTCCAAATTGTTTATAACCCCTTAGGACTGGAAAAATTATCTACAAATGTTAAGATATGTCCAAATAAGAAAGCATACACATTGAACCAAGAGAACAGGGAATTACCCTGGACACAATAAAGGTGATAACCAGGTGAAGTGGCTTTTGAGTATGCAGATTCCCTGTGTCACTTACTAGCCACCTTGCAGGGTCTTAACAGAAGTCAAGAAAAGGAATTTGAGAAAAGTGCTGTTCAAGGAGGGACTAGAAAAGAGAAGAAGGGAGTGATTTGTCATATAAATTAAAGAAAGGTGTTTGGGGCATTTAGTATAAATAGGCGTAAATTCCCCATAGGGATAAAATATGCATCAACTGTTCTTTAGGGATCACACAAGAAATGTCAAGTTGTTGGCAGTGGAAGTTTGGAGCAACTGTACTTTTGGTTTCTCTTTTTACGGACTTGGGTGGGAAGAGTTGCCCATGAGTAAGTGGGGGAAGAGGTTTGTCCCACAGGATTGAACCTGATTGTATTGGGCAGGTAGTTGCTTATCTGATGACTGCTGAGACTCTATCTCTGTGAATACAAGGGTTGTATATCTGTCTGTCTTATTCATTATTATCTCTCCACTGTCTGATTCAGCACATGGTGTGTAGTAAGTGATCAAATAATATTTTTGGAGTGAATATTGAATATCGAATGACCTGGATAAGCAATAATAGCTAGCCTCGTAGGTGCACTTAATGTACTTCTAGGCCCACGCCACTTCCTTCTTTTCTTTTTAATTAATGCTAGCCTGAAGGCATGATCACGAGAACATTTCACTCTGGTGACCAGTACTATAACTGTGGGCTACGTGTTTCAATTCAATCTTAAGTTTCAAATTGATTCTTTTAGATTCTGAGCCTTTTATAATTTGCTCAACTCCTCAAGGTCAAAAAAGAATGGCTCTGGGGCTTTATTATACAGAGTAGCTTTTACTGTTATCTACTTCATTGCACCAGGCAATGGACTAGAAACACGATGAATTGCGATTTTCATACTCTCACTAACTCGCTGTGTGACCTTGGGCTTGTCACTTAACTCTAGTTGACTGCGTGGGTCCTCATCTTTGGGACTTCCCGAGCTCAATCTTGATGAAGCAGGGCTAAGGACTTGCCAATAAGCTAATTTCTCACCTCACCCAGGCTGTGCTTGGAAAATTCCTTTTGCTTCCCACAAATCATTTCTCCCCTGTCCAAACCATCCCTCTGCCTCATTAAGGACAGAGGCCCAGCAAGCAGGTTCTTACTCTTTCCTAGCACATTAGCAGAGGCCACTCAATGTTAATTACCGTCACATGAGATTATTAGTCTTATCCTGATTTTTCTGACTTGCCTGCCTCATTGACTGCCTCAGCTAAATGACCAAAGGTTGAATAATTCCTTAGAGATAAAATATGATTTGGGGAAAGTGTGGTGCGAAGAATCTGGGACGAGAAATCGTAACACAGTGGTTTCTAGGCATTCCGCGTATCTAAAGCTTTACAACTTAAAATAAAAATTTGAATTAAATTACACACTTTGTTTTAGAGACACCTATCAAGCTATTTCCACTGTAAAATTATGATGAGGTAAAGGAAAAAGATAATTTAATATCCAATGCGGTTAATAGTCTCCTGAGCCCTGCTCTGGTGCTCTAATAAACCTGCTTAGGTTTAGTGGTTAGAGATTTATTTCATCCACCAATGAGTGGAAAGTGTTTTGGGTGGGTTAGAACTATACAATAGAGGCTTCAAACAAAAACAATGAAATTCTTGGTCAAACTAACCTCCTGAAAGATAGCACGAATCAGAAGGCAGGGTCAGTGATTCCCTTTGAAGTTTTGACTTCTTTAGTTTTCATTTGGAACTATGTGGCTCAGAGGGAATTGGCTGAGATATCAACTCTTCTCTGATTTGTCAGCGCGTGGAAGTCCTAGGCGTTAAAACAGAGTCAGTATGTATCTATATGTATTTCTTGTTTCTAAATTTAGAAAATATTCCAGAATCTCTTCTTTGCATATGTAGGAACACCCTTTCCTTTGTCATAAGAGATCCGACCTGGAGGCCTACAGAGTGGGAATGGTCAGCCCTCACCCCACTTCTTGCTTCACCGGGGTCCCTGTCTTACAAGGACCCTGGAGACAGAGGGGCCAAACATGTGAGAACACTGACAGTCCTGTCCTTCCGGTAGAATTACTGGATTAAAGGTCATGTTAAAAATCAAGTTCGCATGATAAATCAACACCCTGGAGTCAGCCATGCTTTAAGTCGAAGAGAAGTGACTCCCAAATAATCAGATAGGGAAAGTCGACAGATGCCTGTGATCTTTAGGAAAGTTAATTCTCTTCTCAGAGGTTCAGTTTTCCCCATGTGGAAGACCGAGATAGGATGGATTCTACTGAAGCATTGAAAGTTGTTCAAAGTCATTGATGTGTTAATAATTCATAACTCCTAAGTATTACCAGCAAAAGTATACTCATGTTAACACACATCTAAGTGTGGATATTGGCCTGGCTCGACACAAATAAAACTGGACAAGGGCAGTAGCCAGCCTAGAGGGGCTTAAGGGAAATGTTCCCAAGTTGGAATTATGACAAGCACTATAGGTTGTCTACCATATTGTCAGGAATAGGTATGTAGGTGTGTGTGTGTGTGTGTGTGTGTGTGTGTGTGTGTGTGAGGATTGATGTAGCCTTGATAGCTATGTTGCCAGTTCCAGACCCAGATTTTTGGATACGTGTCTTGTCCAACCTGTTCTGTTTGGTTTGCTCGTCCTCTGCTAGCATCCTTTTCGAAATCCCTAGCCCTCCATGGTGAAAGATACTTATGGTCATTTCTATAGGCATCTAAGCCCATGATATAAAATATGCACATGAAAAGGCTTTTCTGTTATTACAGGGACTGAGGGAGCAAATTGGATCTCAGGCGCCATGGCAGCGTGATGACAAGAATGGAGGGAACCTGTTTAATCTTAGTTCTTTGATGAAAGATATAGTGGATAGCTTTCAAAGTCTCCTTTCCCCGAGATAAGTGTAAATAGCAGGATGCTTCTCAGGAAGTGGAGTTTTACAGTCCACCCAGGATGCCTCTAACAGGGAATATATCTCTTCCCAAGAACCCTGCTTAGGATAAGATGGATAACCTCTCTGGGGAGAAAAGTCCGTCCCATTCTCTCCCTCACAGAAAGCTTTGTGTTTTTCCCTCCCACCGCCATTCTTCGTTCCCGTGCCTGCCTTTGCCGTCCATTTAACCTTCCCTGGGCTGGAGATCTAGACAGAAAGCAGGCGTGTACCCTTGCTGACCTTCCCATTTCTCCTTTCATAGACTGATGTAAGCACCAGGTCCAGAATAATGCAGTTACAGACTTTTCACGCAGAGCCGGCTGCTGAACTGCTGTTCTAGGTTGTGATTTGGAACTTGGCATATTGTTCTGATGCCCATGCCTATCATAAAGTTCATAAAGAATTGGAATAGTTAAGTGGGTAGGAATATAGGCTCTGTAGCTGTATTGCCTGGGTTCAAATCCAACCTCTGTCATTGCTGGCTGTGTGAATCTAGATGAGTTAATTAACTTCTCTGTGTTTCAGGGTTTTTTTTCTCAGTATCTGCCTTATAGAGTTGTGAGGAATGAATGAATTAATCCACAGAGAGTTTAGGATAGTACCTGGCTTATGCATAGTAAATGCTCAGTAAGGTTGGCTGCTATGGTTATTATTGTTAAATGGGCACTGAATGAATACGGGAAGGGTGTGCAAGTGACGACAAAGAGATGAGAGTCGTTCTATTAAAGGTTGCTTATGAACCTCAAAGGATAAAAAGTATGTTCATCAGAAAGCAAGAAGAAAACTTGAAACAGAAAAAGGATGGCTTGATATCCCGAGGAGATAAAGGTTTAGGGAATTGTCACTAAAAGTCTAGAATTAGAAGGTAAAATCCAGAGTATGTCAGTGAAGGCTCAGGTGAGAAAAGTTGCCACCCTAAATGATTTGAGGCAGTCTCCAGTTGTCACTTTAAGGATATAAACAGTTTCAAGGTCATTGGAAAGTGTGCGGTCCGTTCAAGGTTCCAGCTTCCATCCTATCTAGGAGAGGTACAAAAGGCTCCTGCCTGTTTTGGGCTTTGCTGAATTTTATTTTTCCAGGCGCCTGCTGCAGGGTCAGACCTGAAGGTCAGTGCCTGCGTGCAGTTGTTCATTCTCCACGCAGAGTGTAATGCAGTGATGCACGGAGGACTTGACTGCTGACCCTCCTAGTGGGTGTGGCGCTGGGACTTTTGGAGACAGCAAATCATATTTGCCTCTTGGCTTTAGAACGCTAATGAGACTTGGATTTAGAATTAGGCTGGATTAATGAAGCTCTAATAGTGCTTGATGGAAACTGGATTATCACCCATGTTTAAGACGTAGACTGAAATCCTGCTGAAGAGATGTCGAATGAACACTTGATGAGGTCTCTCCAAGTGCCTTCTTGTAATTGTACTACAAAAAATGAACAAGTGGATAACCAAAGCAGTGCCATTATATTGTGTTTTCTTGAGTTGCTTTTTTTTTAATCACCAAATTGTGTGCATTGTGCACTAGGAAAATCTCCTTGATTATATACCCATATGTCATATGTCATTCCAGATTTTATATATGTTAAGAACACCCCCCTCCCCCATTTTATGTATCTGATTTCAAGTGTCTGTGCTCTGATATATATATAAATATATATATATATACACATCTTGCTATATATATAAAACGTGCACTTATCTTTTCAGCATCTTACACCATACTTGGTCATGTTTTGGATTTGATCTGTATGTGTACATAGTTGCTTATTTTTAAATGACCATTTCCTTATATTAGTATATCTAAATAAATTGTACCTTCTTATACCTTGTTTCACAGGTATCATTCATGTTTGATGTGCACAGGCACCTGAAGGAGATTGCACGGAGCCCTCATTATTTCATTAGCTAATATTAACTCAAGTGCCGCTGGCTTCCATGGATGGTATTCATTATTTTAGGAGCTTGGTTTACTGATTTACAGTAATCTCTTAGTGTTGACTAATTTATTCATTTTCCTGTGTGTGAGAGTTTGTGACTTCGGGATTTTCCCCAAACCCCTCCCCATTTTTTTCCCCAAGAAAATCTTTCTGAAATAAGTGAGTTAAGCAAAAAGAATTGTAGAATACCCTTTCTTATAATGTACCTATCAGAACTTTAAAAAAGAAACGTAATAAGGGGAACCCTATCTTCCCCCACTAAAAACTAATTGTGTAGACAGTGGTGTATTTATTGGTTCCTTTCATATATTTTCTTTGGAGTCTCCATGATAGAGACAGGGCACACTTAGACTCTACATTGCTAGAGTACAGGATTGTGCCACCCTGGGATCCCTAGAACATTTTGGGTAATAAGTAACCTTTAATAGCATTGGCATCATCCCCTTACCTACATTAGATGTCAAGGAGTTAATTCTTGACCTTTTAGATTGCAGGCAGTTAACCCTTGAACAGCATGGGGGATTAAGGGTGCTGACCCCCTGGGTAGTCGAAAAATCCATTTCCTGCTGTTTCTGCCTCAAAAACAAAGGAATTAGTAAACCACAAGGGCAATAAGCTGAAACAATTTGAATAGAGGCAGGACTCAAACCCTACTTCTTTTAAGCCCACATATTGTGATCTCTAATCGAACACAAACTTTCCTCCACACTTAAAGTGAAGAACTGTAAAATGAAAATATTGGTACTACAATATTTATTGGAAAAGAAAACCACATGTAAGTGGATGCTCACAGTTTAAACTCGCGTCGTTCAAGGGCCAGCTGTATATATAAACTAGACAATTGACCCTGATCTTTTTTTTTTTTGCGGTACACGGGCCTCTCACCGTTGTGGCCTCTCCCGTTGCAGAGCACAGGCTCCGGATGCGCAGGCCCAGCGGCCATGGGTCACGGGCCCAGCTGCTCCACGGCATGTGAGATCTTCCCGGACTGGGGCACGAACCCATGTCCCCTGCATCGGCAGGTGGACTCTCAACCACTGAGCCACCAGGGAAGCCTGACGCTGATCTTAATGAGATTCAGCCAGAAAATCTGCCCAGATCAATCTCTCTCTTCCTCCCTCCCCTTCTTCTCATTCTTCTCTGCCCATAAGAAAGGAAACATGGACATTTCTTAAGCTCGTGAGACAGGAGCCATTTGGTTGAGGGGCAGATTTAGTTTCAGGGGCAGTTTATCTGTTGCCAGAGGTGTTTTACTTGTAGACGCTACCATTGCTTTCTCAATGGTGAGAAATTCCTCTTCTCTTAAGCAAACACCTTTGGCACTGAGGCTCCTGGCCAGGGCCCATTCTCTTGGCTCCTTCTCTCCTGGTAATGCCTGAAATTCAGTTTTGAAGCTACTTCGCTCCTGCATGCTGGAAGGCAGATGATCTCAGCCTGGCACACACAGAAGCCTCTCTCCTCCCCTGGCCCAGCTCTTCCTTCCTCCAGGCCAGGCCAGGCCACAGATGTGTGCTAATGAGAGCTTCTCTTTGTTTACAGGGTTTGGGATGCTCTGACAGACAATTACATCCCTTCACTCTCAGAAGACTGGAGGGACCCAAACGTGGAGGCTCTGAATGGCAACAGCTCTGAAACTGAGGTACCTCTCTGGGGCCCCCAGCTTAGCAGGGCTTGAGAAGCTGTGGATTCCAGTTAGAAAAACATTCAGTAATGCAACAGTCTTCCCCATTATGTAATGAAGCTCGACATCATTGCTGGGAAAGTAGAAGCTGTGGAGGAATTGAAAACTAAGATGAAGGGGGACATCCAGGGTATATGAGGTGATTGGAGTGATTGTAAAGACTGTAAATGCAGATCACTTCTGTTGCTCATCATTGGCCTACAACATGCAAAATAAGGTGATCTGAAGTAAGAGAGGAGAGTGAATATAATGGGCTTTTTTTGTGTTCGAATAATAATGGTTAAAAAAAGAAAATCAGGGTTTCCCATCTAAGATGGACAGTTCAGTCCCATCAAAAAGTGTTGACAGACTTGTGACCAGCTCAGGGCCTGGCTAATGGCCAGAGTGGGGACCCAGATAATAGTGAGGTGACCATGCAACGGGGAGGAATTCTTTATGAAACTCATTAAACAGGCACTTATATGGCTGGACCTGAGTCACGGTCTGTGGTTACTGATGCCGAAGAGGAAAGTAGCCTACGGACTTCTGAAAAAGTAAAGAGAAGACTGATTTTGAGTTGACTTGCATAGGTTATGGAACGTGACCTTTCAGAATATCCAAACTGCCCCTCCTAGCTGAATATACATATAGAAAGCTAAATCACGTAAGGGCTCTGTCCTTGCTAAAAGCCTGTTTCTACCTTGCTTAATCTTCTAGTTTCATTTATAAAGGAAATTTGACAATTTCTTATCAGGAAGGGCTGTCACAATCCTGTACGCACAGCAGGTGAGGGTGGGAGGTAGACCTGATCTTTCTAGGTGCCCCAGGAGTGAGTCCAAGGAAGAGCGAGAACCAGATCTCCCTTACTGGGCGACATTTCCTGCAGATCATTGGCCAAAATAGCACAGCAAAGAGATCAGCAATTGGCCGATTTGTTGAAAAGGTGGCTGAATATCCTTTTTAATTCTTCTAATACTTAGCCATCCAAAATACTTAAAACCGCAAGAATAGACTTCGAAACAAAGAGATTTGCTTCAACCCTTCTTAGCATGGATGTGGGATGTCTCAGGTCCTGTTTTGAACTCCCGGGCGCTTTTTTTCTCTTGCAGTACTTCTATGGATAGTGTTTAGTACTTACCCAAAATGCAAAGGAGAAGATAGGCAATAATGGAATAAACCTAGTGACTGAAATGAAATCAGGTCCGTCATGGTGCAAAAGGCAGATTTTGCTTTGTTATCTCCTTTGCCACATTTCCAACTCATTTTGTGGATTAAGCCAAAGTATATATAAGATAGCCTACCCTTCAAAAGGACTCTAATTTATCCTCATTTGCAGATTTCCCTCAAGAGGGTTAATATTTCAGGGCAAACTGAATGACCCTGAGAAGGATGATCTTGAGCTCTGCTCCTTGTAGAATATTCTCCATCTGACCCACGGGAAATGGACGGCGTAGCAAAAGTGGATGGATTAAGGTTGTTTTATTTTAGCCTCCTTTATTATCTGGATTCATTACAGTAGAAGCTCTTTTCACTGACATCAGTTTAAACGACTTGCTATATAACCAGTGCTCTGTATTCCTTCTGTAAAACATGCCAACCGAACGCCCTTGGCATGCGGCATGCACACGACTGGTAGGCTTCTCTCTGGGAAGTCTTATCTCTTCTTCCACTTAATTCATTGCCAAGAATCAGCTGTGTTTGTTCCCAAACCTGTTCGTGCTTGTCCTTGTGACTGTAACCAATGTAATGAAATGTTATGGAAACTGTAGGGTTATGACTGCAATGACAGTCATTTTTGCTTTTATAAAATCAAACACATGTGTGTAATTTTAAAAGTCAAATAATACTTTTAAAATAATACGAGACAACAAAAAATATAAACAGCAGTCTCTGACATATCTTTCCTGGCTCCATAGAGGCAACCACTTCGACTTCTTACAGCTGTTTCTTTTGGCGGGTACCTACAATCTTCTAAATAACACATTTATGTTACTACTTCTTTGATTATCTAAAATGAATAATTTTGGCTGTTGTCCATTATGGAAGATAAGATTTAAGTCTCTCGCATCACCTCAAATACTCACATTTGGCCTTCTCCCTTGTCACCAATTAAATCAATATTACAAGTACGCACTAGGGTAACTGTGTAAATACTGTTTCTTGCTGAATCATGTAGTGTTCTATAAGAATATTTCCTCTCTTGTACAACTTCTTATTTAACCTAGAGTGAAGAATTGCCTTGTTTTTTCATTTGCTTAGCTTCCTGTATATCTATCATTAGTTCAACCCCAAACCCTGAGTGAACTCTACATCTCATAATATGTTTTAAAAAAATCAGATAGTCTTTCAATTCAATCAAAAAAAAAAAAATCCAAACTAGTACCCTCCATCTTTCTGCTATAAACTAATCTGGTTGTACCCTAGATCTGGTGCACAGCTGTTGTCCTGGGAAATCTTCATGTCTCTCTCTCCTGTCCTCTGACTGCCATGTTTTTATTTTTCTGGGTATGTTCCCTTGTTTTGGTGAAAAAAATTCAGTATATTCTTGAGAAAGGGTAGAGAGGAATATATTTGTTAGAATAGATGAGAGTGTCTTTATTCTCCCATCATACTCTTGATTGAGAATTTGACTTGATAGAGTTATTTTAGGCTGCAAGTGAATATTTACTCAGAATTGCAAAGCCATCATCATCCTTTCCTCTAGCTTTCAGTGATGATTGAGAAGCCCCATTTAGAATCCATTCTGATTCTTTGTCTTTTATATGTGACTCTCTTTTGGTTCTCTCTAGAAGCTTTCAGAATATTCTCTTTTTCCTTTCTCATTTCTTTTACAGTAATGTGCCTTAGAGTGAGCTTTATTTTTTTCATTCAGATGAATTATAATCCGTGGGCCCTTTTGACCTGGAAGCTCATGACTTTAAATTGTGGCATGGTTTCTTGTTATTTCTCTGAAGATGAATTATTTCCATTTTCTGCCTCTATTGAGATGATTACATGGTTTTCTCCTTTATTACGTCAATGTAATGAATTACATGAATTGAGTTTCAAATGTTAAATCAACCTTGCATTCTTGAGATTAAAGGCAACTTGGTCATGGTATATTATTCTTTTCCTTTTTAATCATAGCTTTACTGAAGGATAATTGGCATACAATAAACAACACATGTTAAAGAGTGCAGTTTGATAGGTTTTGACATATGTATATGTCTGTGAAACCATCACCACAATCAAGATAGTGAGCATGTCTGCATGTCCATCACTCTTCCCTTTCACCCCCCAATCTTCAGGCAACTAGCTGCAGTCATCATAGATTAGTTTGCATTTTCTAGAATTTTGTATAGGTGGAATCACGCAGCATGTACTCTTTTTTGGGTCTGATTTTTAAAACTCAATATAATTATCTAGATATTCATCTATTTTATTGCATGTATCTACATACATTCCTTTTTATTGTTGAGTAGTGTTCCATTATATGGATATACTATAATTTGCTTATTCATTCACATGTTGATGGACATTTGGTTTTTTTCCAGCTTTTGAATATTGCGAATGAAGCTACTACGAACATTCTCGTATAAGTCTTTTTGTGGACATGT